CCATAATGAATATAAATAATGACTCCAAAAAGTAATAAATATGATTATTTGACACAAGGCCCTTTGATAATATTGTTTTCCATCTAAGCTATCAGTTTCACTATATAAGATCCCTGTGGGCAGATTTCAGCTCAATTTATATTTAAAATAATGATGGGAAAAGGAGATGCTCAGGGAGTAAATCATGTATAGAGTGGGAAATTATTTTCTTCTTTTGTTTCTTAGATAAATTTCATAGATTTTTGTTTGTTTCATAAAAGATGTAACTATTAACTGATTTTAGAGCCCAATTTAAGAGAAAGCATATGGAAAGGGTCTCAACTGGCCTTGTTTGGGTACCTATGTGCTATTGTATAGAAGAGATTTAGGTAAGTAACTTTTACATCTGAGTTCTAGTATACTATAAGTGCTTTTAGGAAAATAGCTTTTTCTTTTTCTTTTTTTTTGGTGGGTGTTAGGGGGTGTAGGGCCTTGCACATGCTAGATAAGTGCTCTACCAATGAACTACATCCCCAGCTGTTTCTTAATAAGATATCCAAGTGATAATATTTTTCCTAGACTGCCAAGCCTATTAATGATATTAAATCTGTCAGCCAACTCCTCTATTCATAACTAAGTAAACTAATAAAAACATGTTAAATGATGATATGAAATGTAGTAAAAATATTGAATATTGGCTGGGGCTTATGATTGGGATGAGTGATTCTACAGGATAATATGATGATAATTATATCCTAGGATTTTTATATTTGGCCTAATACAGGAATGTTTTAAAACAGACTTTTTTTTGTGAAAATTAGAAAATTATACTTAAGACTTCAGAAAGTGGAGAAACTTAAAGCCAAGTTACCAACGGTACAGTGACTAATTCTAAAGGGAACTTTGCTATTGCTACTTAATTACTGAGTGCCCAAGATGACAATTTCCACAAAGTCTTGATTTTTACATATATATATACATACATTATGCACAAATATACACATATGCATGTGTATCTTTTCAAGTTATGTTTTAAACTTTTGAGATGGGATTTTAGACTATAGAAGAGTAGTAAAAATACCACAGGTCCTCTATACCCTTCACCCACCTTCTTCTTATGTTGACATCTTAAAAAAACCATAGAATATTTGTCAAAATTAAGAAATTAACCTTGCTACATGGTATTAAATAGAGAGTTAAAAGTAACTTTTATTAGTCTTTTTACTAATGCCCCTTTATTCTAGGATTGATTCCAGGATCCCATCTTGCATTTAATTGTCATGTCTCCATAGTGTCTTCCAGTCTGTGACAATGTACATTAACAGGATACCTGATGTAATGTATTTCTGGTGGTGTTAACTTCAATCACTATGCTAAGGTGATGTCTGCTAGAATTCCCTACTGTATACTATATTTTCCTTTTTAATTACTAAATATTTGCTAGAGATACTTCAGACTATGCAAATGACCTGTGTCTGCATAAACTTTTGCCTACTTCTTTTACTATCCATTGGCAGATCTTGCTTGTGGCAGTTATTACTGTGGTGTTCTAACAGTGCTTTTCTATTTCACTTATTTCTTCTACATTTAATAATTGGAATTATTCTTAAGGAAGAGCTGTCACTTTTGGATTTATATTTTTAATTGTAATTAAGATATTCAGGATAGGTACAAACTTAGAAGATATAAACCAAGTTAAAATGATTATAAATACCAATATCAAAGAAAACTAAATTGATTACCTGTCACAGAAAATACAGTGAACTTAAGATGAAAATAGTATTTATGATTCGTAGAATTTGTTCAACTTTTTAAATATTGACTTCAAACTGAAATCTTAATTTCATGCTCAGACTTTTAAAAGTGTCTAAATTTATATTACTTTGGGGATCATTTTTGTCAAAATCTTGAGTAAAGTTACCCAGAGCTGGCATGATAAACACAGCTGTTTTCTTTATTATAAGCCACAGTTGTACCAAATATAGATGTTAATGTAAACATTTAAACAAATCAGCCAAATGAAGAATCTAGGACATGGTTTATGTTTGTCTCTGTATGTTGGCTTAGAATTTTTAAAAGTGCTTTAAAAAATTGGGTTTGAAAATAATTTCTTAGTGGGTTATTGTAAATAATACTGTTAAAGGTAAGCAAAAATATTTTTAAAAATTGAAGAATGCAGATAAAATTGGCATTAAAAAAAGGTTGGAGCTTTTGCTTTTTAATTTTTTTTTAATTATGAGTTTATCTTAGTTCATAGACATTGAGATTTTGATGAGTCAGTTCTTCTGTGAAAAGGATTATTCTCCTGATCGCATCCCTATTTTTC